CACAATCCAAAAAGGCCAGACAGTCATCTCTGGCGTCCTACCGAGTGAACTTGATGTTGTCATCCACAGAGTTGATATGCTTGGTGAAAGGCCTCTACCTCCCGGGTCCTGATTTTAACCCATGTGTTGTCCACATAGTGGAACCAGTGGCTGGGAGCAGTACCAGTGAAGGAAGACAGGGCTTTGTCCTCAAATTATTCCTTGTACAGGTTGGCAACTATAGGGGACACCGGGGAGCCCATAGTACAGCCGTGTTGCTGCCTATAGAACAGGTGATGGTTCAAAGACGGGTAAAGACACTCACTGATACTGGGCTATAATGACTCAGTTGTTAGGGGACACTGTTGGCCATCAAAGGGCTGAAACGCCACCGATGGGGATAAATATCTCTGACTCAATGCCAGTCGGGCAGAACTGATGAAGCCTCTTGGATGAGAGGTGAAACGTCTTCGACCTAAGACCAAGTCCAGTTGATTTTTTTTTTCCTACATTTTTTCACCTCCATAAAATATTAAAGTCTCCTCTTTCTTTCTTTCTTTTTCTCTGTAGCTGTATCTGGGTATCGTGCTGTCAGCTGTTGTCATCATCACTGGCTGCTTCTCCTACTTCCAGGAAGCTAAGAGCTCCAAGATCATGGAGTCCTTTAAGAACATGGTCCCTCAGGTACTGGACCCGTTAACTGTTCAACACCAGGACAATGTGGAGAGTTTTTCTTCTGGCAATTTCTGCCAAGAATGCCCGATTTATTAAAATTTTTGTAATGTTATGTTAAGGTCAACGCATTTATTAAAAAGTATAAATCACCATAATCGAAGATGGCAACAAAACAGTTTGCTAAGTGAAAACAAACCCTTCAACTCATGTGACAAGTCTCCTGAAGGAAAATCCAACTTATTTTTCTTTACTCTGCTACAGAGTTATTGGCTGTAGATGAAGGTAAAAACAGTCTGGTTTGGCTGGAGCATTGTCATTAAGCCGTAAGCACTCCTGTTGTATAAACTGTGATGTTTTAAAGTAGTTTATGCAGTAATTCTTGGAGGGATTAAACCTCTGGTGAAAATAAGTACATTGAGTTCCTAAGATGTGCAGGTTTTGCTGCCACAGCTTTCATGATGTGTTTCCTCATCAGTTCCTTAGTTTTTACACTGATATGCCTCATCTTTAAATAGTGTCTTTGCAGAGATTTGTGTTATTTTTGGTAAGAGGCTTCAACTTTATAATAGCTGGCTGTGCTTTTATCTATTTATACTTTTTAAACCAAACAAATGATTTAAATAAACTTGTTTGATCTCTCTCGCTCTGTTCCCAGCAAGCCCTGGTTATCCGTGAGGGAGAGAAAATGCAGATCAATGCTGAGCAGGTGGTGGCAGGAGACCTGGTGGAGGTGAAAGGAGGAGACAGGATCCCCGCTGACCTCCGCATCATCTCCTCCCACGGCTGCAAGGTGAGCTACAGGCAGAGTCCTTTAATTACACAGGGCTAACGAGAGACCTATGAAGCTTTCCTCAAGTTGTCTGTTGAATAGCAAGTTTTCAGTGCCAAACACAGAGGAATCAGAGTTAGAGTAATATATCTGAATTAGTTACAAGTAAATGCGTTATATCTTTCAACTCATTCATTTTCAGTGGCCAACCATAAAAATGTGGTTACACCATAGAAATCAGTAATAGTTCAAAATACAAGTGTAACATCAGCAGTGAGTGTCAACACTTTGTGGAATCTGATCTGTGAGCTGATCAAATACTAACAAAAACAAGCACCGAATCAGCACTCTATGATAATAACGCTTGTTCAAAATATGTACTAAAACCACTTTGTGAACTTTTTACCTGATTATTGTTGAAGGTATTATGGGAAAACCCTGATAACTTGTTTATCTTCATGCTCAGTTCACAGTGATGTTCAGTGTTTCTGCAGGCCCTCATATGAACCTCATTTTAGTGTCAGAATGTTTGTGGGAAAGTTACGTTTTATGCAACGTATTGTGAGTATAAGAACACAATCAGAGCTGTAAGGAGGAATGAAGAAAATCAAAACACAAACACACAGTCTCTGTCTAACACTGTACATTGTCTAATGTACATTAATGTGCCTTCTTCTTTGTTTCTCTCTGTCTCTCCCTTCTCCTGCTCTGTCCAGGTGGACAACTCATCCCTGACTGGAGAATCAGAGCCCCAGACCCGGTCACCTGATTGTACCCATGACAACCCCTTGGAAACCCGCAACATTGCCTTCTTCTCCACCAACTGTGTCGAGGGTAGGGTCCCCATCACTATTGTCTTCATCCAGAGCCCGTCATCATTATTACCAGTATATTCATCCACCGTTATGGTTATTAGCCATTCTTCTCATAGAACACAGACACACAAATATATGTTAGTGTCTGTGTGTGTTTTCACTGACATGTTTGTGTGCATATGTTTGTACTGTTCTGGTTCAGCGCCTCAGATAGTCCTGCAACCATCGATGCTGCACTTTTACTGCTGACCTCAGTCAGTGTTTAGCCTGATGAAGGAGAGGCCAGTCACATCTCTGTTCATCAGGGACTGGAAACGTGGCCACATTTAACCTGATACCTGATCCTTTGTAGTTCAGGGAGGCCAGTTCGTGGCTGTACTGGGAGGCCATGTAACTTGTAGTCTACTGCTGTCAGTGAAGAATTGGAAAAGAATAATATATGGTGTCCTCTTGTGGACAAACTGCTACATTGCACATCAACACTCAAGTCCTGTAATATCCTTCAGACACCATTGCTTAGTCAAACCCGTGCATCCTTTCAACTGTCCTCTCGAGCTTTACATTTTATTCTTGTGTTGTCTGCCTCTGTTTTCCTCTCTTTTGTCAGACTTCTCACTGTCCTCTCTTTCTCCAGGAACAGCACGTGGTATTGTTGTGTGTACTGGTGATCGTACGGTGATGGGTCGCATCGCCACCCTGACCTCAGGCCTGGAAACTGGCAAGGTGATGTACTCGTTATTGTTCAGTATCAGATAACAGTCTGTTGAGGATGCAAAGCTTTTAGCACCTGGAGAAACTGAAGTGTCACACAAGGATTTTATCTGCCAATTTTTCTTCTGCTTTCAGTAAAATTTAGCCTCGTATTTTAATTGATCATCTTGCATCTTATTTTAAATTACCTGATCAGCTTCTGTTGTTGCATTTAGATTTCCTCACGGATAGAATTCAGCAGGTTTGGGTAAATGGACATGTGTCCAGCACTTTCGAGTGCAAGTTCTCCCCAGGATTGTGTCCTGTCACCTCTGTGTTTTTATAATGCACACAGACAGCTGCAGAATGTTTCAGGAAGGCAGTTATATTGTAAGGTATTCTAATGATGCTGCCCTCCTGTCTCAGCTTCATGCCTCAGACCATGGTCATGCTTTAGCTGCTTTTGTTGAATGGGATGATGATAACTTCTTGGATCTTAATGTGTCAAAAACCAAGGAGTTAATCATTGATTTTTGGAAGATTAGTGACACACCAAAGGTGAGGATTGTTCATAATGAAAATGGTGAAATTGTGGACTCCTACAAGTATCACGGCACTGTGATTGATTCACACCTTAAGTTTGATGTGAACGCAGATCTGATTGTCAGGCGGGGCCAACAAAGGACTCCATTAAATGAAGAAGCTTAATTCTTTTTATGTTGTTGAGGTAATTTTTGTCAATCTTTTATCGAAAGTCTTCTAGCTTTTTCTTTTATCTCCCGGTGTAACGGGTTGTCTGTGAAGGACAAGAACGGTATAAACAGCATTGTAAAAGTGTGCTCTAAGGTTAAACAGAGGGATTTGGGCTCCGTTGAGAGAAGCAGGTGGCTGAGAAAGCAAAATAAAATTATCAGCCGATCAGACCATGTACTCTCAGCTGAATTCTCCCTACTGCCTTCAGGCCAGTGTTGTAATGTGCCTTTGATGAGAACTAATCGTTATTCTAAGTCCTTTATTCCTTCTGCTATTAGGCTGCTCAACACAATGCACATTTTAAATGATTATTTTAGTGTTATTCATAGGATATGTTTTATGGCTTTGACTGTTTGAATTACTGTTTGTGTTTACTGTTCCCTTGACGTTTTATACATTTGGTTGGTTGGTTGCTTGTTGAGGTGGAATCTATGGAGTGGAAAGGTACAAATGAATTGCCTATGAGGGTGAAGTACAACTGAACTGTTGTGTCATTTACAAGCCACATAATGGAGGTTGCTTATTAAACTGAACTTTCATGTAATTAATTGTTCCAGTCAACAGCTTGTCTAAGAAGTTTCCTAGCTTTACTAAGTGTTCTGGGCTGTGTAGTGAGTTTAATTTTTTTGTGTTTTATTGTGTGTTTAAGACTATATAGACAGTGAGTGCAGGTATTAATGTAAAAGCTGTCAGTCATTTTCAATCAATCAACAACCACCTTCTACTCTTCAGACACCCATTGCCAAGGAGATTGAGCACTTCATCCAAATCATCACAGGCGTGGCCGTCTTCCTCGGTGTGTCCTTCTTCATCCTCTCACTCGTCCTGGGTTATAGCTGGCTGGAGGCCGTCATCTTCCTCATCGGTATCATTGTGGCTAATGTGCCCGAGGGACTGCTGGCCACAGTCACTGTGAGTTGGCAGAGAAATGGGAAGCTAGTGTATGGTTTCTTATTGTTGTTGTCAGTCTGTGAGCGAGACAGAAATGTTGGTGTTTCTAGTATTTGTGTGTGTCCGGTTGTGTAATCCCTTCATTTCAACCTGTTGTTCGTGGTGTGTTTCCCACTCCTTGTGTGTTTTGTTTCTTCTTTGGTTCCAAGTGTTTTGTGCAGACTTGACTCAAACATTATTTTCGTGCAGTTCATAAATTTCATGTCTTAAAGTGCCTTGAAACGTTTGTTACCCCTAAGCAGACACACCCAAACAGCACCAACCTCACATGAAAACTGGGCTTTAGTCCATAAGCCACACATTATTGTAGATTCTATGACAACAACCTTCCACTAGTGAATATACTGCAGGATGTCTGTCGAGCAGTTTGCCGTTTCACCCATGTCTGATTGTGAGCTTTCTGTAAATGTTCTTGTTATTTAGTTTGTTGTTTTGTTCTGTTGTTGTGTGCTGTTTCACGTGCCCCTGCTTCCCTTTTTCTGTGCTTGTGTGTTTTCTGTGTGGTGTAATGTTGCTCTGTTCTGTGTATGTTTGTGTTTTTGCGCTTTAACGCTCTCTGTGTCAGTATCTGTTTCTGTGGTGAGGCTGAAGTTTTCTCTGTTTGTGTATTTCTCTTTCCATCTCTCTCCCAAGGCAGCCCCATATGTGTTTGTGTTTCTCTCTCTCTCCACCTTCTCTGTATGTCTGTCTCTCTCTCTCTCTCTTCCAGGCCAGTCGCGGTGCTGTCTGCAATGACAAGGACTAGCTAATGTAATGACATTAGGCTAATGACTAGTCAGCTCCATTATCTGAATCCGGCCTCCTCTGCTTGGCCTTGGCTAGTTCTGTTTGGCCTATGGATCTTGCCGTATTTGGCTTGATGATGTAATGCACCGCTTCTCTGCTTCTCTGCTTCACTCGTTCATACCTCATGTTCTCCCTGCATTGCTCGCTGGGCTGGTTTTTATTTTGGAAAGAGGTGTTTTGTGCATTTTGCTGTAGAGGGACATGTTGGTGAGCAGGATGAACGTCTCCAGGTGTGCAGGTTCTTAGGTGTTAATTGTTTGAGGTACAGTACGGCACCAATGTATCTATTCACTGGCAGATGTTAGTTCAGTGCCTGGGGAGGTTCATCTGTGCTGTTATTTTACCACAGACACTAACTGCTTTTTCTGTTTCTCTTTTGCTTTGTTTATTTCTGTTCTTGCGTCAACAACTTCTTTCCTTCTGTCTGTCCTTCCTTCCTCCTTCTGCCATTCCTGTTTCCTTCTTTGCTTTTGTCTCTCATGTGTCTCCTCTCTCAGGTGTGTCTGACGTTGACTGCTAAGCGAATGGCTCGTAAGAACTGCCTGGTAAAGAACCTTGAGGCTGTGGAGACACTAGGCTCCACCTCCACCATCTGCTCTGACAAGACGGGAACCCTTACCCAGAACAGGATGACTGTGGCCCACATGTGGTTTGACAACCAGATCCATGAGGCTGACACCACTGAAGACCAGTCTGGTGAGATTTTCCTCCCTCTCCTACTTTCATGCACTAAAACGGTCTTAAGAATACTGTAACCTTAGTTTCTGTGTCATAGCATTACTGGCTAGTGCATTGGTCTCAGCCTGTTGAGCCTGCCCTTGCTCAACATTTCCACCAAAAGCAATTCAATGTAAAGCTAATGAATGGGACTATGTGGTGTTGCAATTCGTGTCCAGTTACATAAATAATCACATCTGATCTGAAATCAAACTATAGAAAATTTGAAGAAGAAATGTTTCCAACCTGGGATTTAAGTTTCATTGCTGTTTGCATCTTGTTAGTTTTTGAAAATCTATTTTTCGGGGGAGGCACTCACAACAATGAAACTCTGAGACACCTTTCAGTTCATTTTTATTGTTCTGCAGGGTGCTCCTTTGACAAGAGTTCCACAACATGGGTGTCTTTGGCCCGCATCGCTGCTCTGTGCAATCGTGCTGTTTTCAAGGCCGGCCAGGATTCTTTGCCCATCCTTAAGCGCGAGGTGGCTGGCGATGCATCAGAGTCAGCCCTGCTGAAATGTATTGAGCTGTCATGTGGCCCCATCAAGGTTCTGAGGGACAAGAACAAGAAGGTGGCTGAGATCCCTTTCAACTCCACCAACAAGTACCAGGTCTGTCCCTTCTGTTTACTAGTGCATCTGGAAGAAAAGGCATATAGTCACAAATGAACTCTGCTAGCTGAAACTAATATGAACTGAAGCTAGAAGATTTGTAGTAAACAGGCTTAAATATGCAGAACTCTGCATACTGTACTTGCATCCATCTCTAAAATCTGTTTCCATCAGCTCTCAATTCACGAAACTGAGGGTGAAAATGACAATCAATACCTGCTGGTGATGAAGGGAGCACCGGAAAGGATCCTTGACCGGTGCTCCACCATCATGCTGCAGGGCAAAGAACAGCCCATGGACGATGAGATGAAGGAGGCTTTCCAGAACGCCTATCTGGAGCTGGGAGGGCTGGGAGAGAGAGTACTGGGTAAGGATGATAAGAAAACTGTGGCAATTTAACAAAAGGTCATGGTTTGGAATTAGAGCTTAGCCTAGTTTTGATATAACCTGCCTCCCTGTATTTACAGCCCATTCATCTGTCTTTCTTAATTCTTTCAGGTTTCTGCCACTTGTTCCTGCCGGAGGACAAGTACCCCAAAGGTTTCGCCTTTGACACAGATGATGTCAACTTCCAGACAGACAACCTTTGCTTTGTGGGCATCATGTCCATGATTGACCCTCCCCGTGCTGCCGTGCCTGACGCCGTGGGAAAATGCCGCTCCGCTGGCATTAAGGTGGGTACTTTTCAAATCTGACATTTAAAGGACTGGAAATCTCAACATTGTACCTACCTGAAAAGGAAATGTTGTGCATTACTGCCATGCACATTTTTAAAGGAATGTAATAGAATGTTTTTGTAATAGTATGAATTTCTCTTCTCTCTGCCTCCTTTTATTGTTCTTTCCATCCTACCTGTTGTGCTTTCCTCCTGTTAATTGTTCCAAAATGTTGACTTTCTTCTTCCCTTTCACCTCCTAACTCTTCATCTGATTCCTCATATTTGTCAGGTTATTATGGTGACTGGTGACCATCCAATCACAGCCAAAGCCATCGCTAAGGGTGTCGGCATCATCTCAGAGGGCAACGAGACCGTGGAAGATATTGCTGCCCGCCTCAACATCCCTGTCAGCCAGGTCAACCCCAGGTAAGACAAAACAAAAATTAAAACAGGTATTCAGTGTATTCCAGCCCGGGCTGTGCTGCAGTGCTGGAGGATATTCCAACTTAGCCATGAAGATTTGGGCTGGAGAAAACAGAGCATGTAAAAAGTGTCTGTATGACAGTAGTTGATATCAGTTGTCATACAAAACGGAAGCTTGATTTATAGTGTCTGTGTTGTGCAGGGATGCCAAGGCCTGTGTGATCCATGGCACAGATCTGAAAGACCTCACTCAGGAGCAGATGGATGATATTTTGAGGAACCACACAGAGATCGTCTTTGCCAGAACCTCCCCACAGCAGAAGCTCATCATTGTAGAAGGCTGCCAGAGACAGGTACCTTTACTCTACAGACACAGACACACGTATATATATATGAACATGCACAACTGCTTGTAATTTTAAAGAAAGTGTTTTTTTATTTTTTATTTTTATTTTTTTTATTTATTTTTTTCACAACCCTAAACTGTGTAGCCTCCTTTTCTGTCAGGGTGCCATTGTGGCTGTGACAGGTGACGGTGTGAACGACTCTCCTGCCCTGAAGAAGGCTGACATTGGTGTTGCCATGGGAATCTCTGGCTCAGATGTGTCCAAACAAGCAGCTGACATGATCTTGCTGGATGACAACTTTGCCTCTATTGTCACTGGAGTAGAGGAAGGTGAGGAGAAAATGAGAGAAGGGAAGGTGGGCGAGAGGAGAAAAAAAATCAGGCTGTGAAGAAGGAAAGATTTAAAGAATGGAGATTAAGTTTTAGCATCATTCCCAAAATTCGGCTGTAAGGACGTTTATGGAATATATTTTTAAATTGTGTCAAAAAGAAATTCACTGTCTCTTCAGTTTTTTTTTTATTTTTATTTTTTTATCTGTAAGTGGTACAGTGCATAAATTTTTAAATAAATAAAATGGAGAAAACAGAGAAAAGGAATGAATTTGAGGCTCAATATTACACAATATTCAATTGCAAATCACTATTGCATATGTAGTTAATATATGAATGCTGCATTAATGAGTTAATGGCATTGTTTTCTGTATTTAAAAGGGTACCTGGGGTGACACAGGGGTGGGGTCTGATTCATTTTGAGTAGTGTTCTTGTCATTTCTGCTTCAGCAGTCTGTATGTTTTTATGCACCACCTCCGTCCTTATAGGCCGTCTGATCTTTGACAACCTGAAGAAGTCCATCGCTTACACTCTGACCAGCAACATCCCAGAGATCACCCCCTTCCTGTTCTTTATCATAGTCAACATCCCACTGCCTCTGGGCACCATCACCATCCTTTGTATCGACCTGGGAACTGACATGGTAAGGGAAGCTCCCAAACATAACCAGGTCGTCGCACACTGCAGTATACAGCTCTAATATGCCTGGCACCCGCACCCAACTTGCTGGAATGGTTCTATGCATTTATCTTGGAACACCCATTCATGCGCAGTACACAAATGTGAAGTGCAAATATTGTGAAACAAATGAAGCAGAGCCATTAATTTCCAATAGTTAGAATGCAGTTTATAGTCTACGTGTTACTTATATGGTCATTACACATTTTTTTTTTAATTTAGATGGACACATTGCAAAGTCCCCTCCTTGAACCGCCACCTTATTGTGGTGGAGGGGTTTGAGTACCCGAGTGATCCTAGGAGCTATGTTGTCGGGGGCTATATGTCCCTGGTAGGGTCTCCCAAGGCAAACAGGTCCTGGGTGACGGGTCAGACTAAGAGCGGTTCAAAAGCCCCTTATGAATAGACTAACATCAAGTCCCATGACGTCGCCCGGCATGGCGCAGCCGGGGCCCCACCCGGGAGCCAGGCCCGGGGTTGGGGCTCGAATGCGAGCGCCTGGTGGCCGGGCCTCCCCCCACGGGGCCCGGCCGGGCTTAGCCCGAACGAGTGACGTGGGGACGTCCTCCTGTGGGCTCACCACCTGCAG